TTCGCAACGCCACTTCTAAGCACATTTTGGCGTTGGTAGTTCGTTTATTTTAGGCGCTACACATTAGGGCCACGGTTCGCGGTAGTCTTCGTAAAAAAGCTTGCTATCACCGCCCCCCGCTGCTCCCCGCACCGCGGTCTGGGCCAGTGCTTTTTTTGTTGTTGCGGCTTTGGTGGGCAGATCGACAACGGTATTGTCGTATGCCTCGACTCCCGCCTGAGGGCGCGGCGGCACTATTACTGCTAGCGACGTTCACTCGCGGGCGCGAGGGGGCGGGGCGGCTGCGCGTCCACGGGCCGCGCCAGGGGGCCGAAGGGCACATGCAAAGTGTTCTTGCAGTTCCCTCGAGGGCGTGCTCTCCCGCGGCCTTTTTCCGAAGGTATACAGCGATTTTCCCGCGGACCCACCTTCTGATTCCGGCCAGATTCATTCCCAGTAATCGCTGCTTTTCGCCGCCCGCCAGTCTCCAGAGGATTGCCGTAGCAATCCAGTTGGATTCCTTTGGAGTCAACCAGGGGGCGTCTTTCGCAGGGCCCGGCCCGTTGGATAAAGTTCGCCAGATCCAGTTTTTGTTCGGGGAGGCACGCGGGGATCCGAGGGGGGATTCCCTTGGAGATTTCCGCTCCAAGGTCGGAATTGCCACTGGAGGCCGCCCATGGAGGCATCCGAAGGGGTGCGATTTTCGGGGAGCTTTCCCGGTGGATTTTCATTGAGATTTCCAATGGGGGACAACGGGGTATTTCCTGACACATTTCCAATGGGATTCCTGCGAGGAGCTAGATTTTCCGGGCGATTTCCACGGAGACTTCCGAGGGGCAAGATTTCCCGGGAGATTTCCACGGAGACTTCCGACGGGCATGATCTCCCGGGAGATTTTCCAGGAGATTCCCAGGGCGCGTCTCGCATTTGCATGGGGGTGCCCGAGTGGCGCGCTTCCCCGGGGGAGTTCGACGGAGATTTCCGAGGGGCGAGATTTCCCGGGAGCACGATTTTCCGGGAGATTTCCCGGGAGATGTCTTTGGGATTTCTGGGGTCGTTTTTCGGGCATACGGGATGTGCTGGGAGTTTTGTTCAGGCGATGCGCGCGGGGGAGATGTCCCGGGGAATTGCCGGAAGTTTCTGCGAGGGGCGCATTTTCGGTTTGGAAATCAAGAAAACGAAAACAAACAATTTCCGAATACATTTACAGGGGGAGTTCTGGGGGGCAAGATTTCCCGGGAGATCCCCTCGGAGTTCTCCGAAGGGGCAAGATTTCCCGGGAGATTTCCACTGAGATTTCCGCGGGGCAAGATTCTCCGGGAGATTTCCCGGGAGACGCCCTGGAGACCCCCCCCTCGGGCTTGTTTCCGAGGTGCGCGATGTCCCGCGACATTACCTGCGGTTGCCTCGGGAATGTCCGACCGAGATCGGATGCGGCGACGGTTCTTCAGAGAATGCCCGGGGGGGGGCCCAGGCATTCCACGCGGTCGATCGGGCGTCTGCCCAGGCGCGCGCGCGAAAGCGTCGCGATGACGTTTCGCGCCGGGTTCGGCGTAGTCCTTTGGTTTGCGCCCTTGCCCTCGCCAGCCCGGCGGGCGCCGCGCTGCCCTCGGGGGGGCCGCGCCTTGCGGGCGCATTCCGCGGGCGGCGCGCTCCGCGGGCGGCGCGCTCCACGGGCAGCGCGGCCCGCGAGGTCCTTGAAGGTTTGTCCCGCATAACCGCGCGCCGCGGCGCGGCGCGCAAAGGCGGGGGGGCCGCCCATTGCGCGGCAGCGCGCGGTGGGGCGCGGTCCTGGCGAGGCGCCCCTCCGCGCGCCATGGCCGCGCGCAGCTCTTACGCGCGCGCGCGCGCCCGCCAGTTGCAGTAGGCGCGCGCTGCCGCGCGCGCTGAAGTGCCGATGTCGAGGCGGCCGCCCTCGGCGCGCGCCCGCGGGGCCCCCTGCCGCCGCGGCCCCGCCCGCAATTTTTACGGCCTGGCGACGCCGTCGCGCCGCGGGCCGCAGGCAGGAAGGACGGGCGCGGCCTAGAATGTTTCGATTTAGACGCGCTGCCCGAGAGGCGGCCGCCGCTGCCCAGCTCGCGCTTCCATGGGGGTCCTACAGGCCGAAAGCGCCGCTTGTGCCTCTCTTGCCTATTGGGGTTGTTGGGGCGCCCAGGCGTGGCGGCCGCGGTGTTTGCGCCACCGCCCGCCCGCGGGCCCCGTGGCCGCGCGACCGTCCGCGCCCCCATCTCTTTTGCCCCCCAGGGGGCGGCGCCGTCTCATGGTGGTCACCGAAGGGGGCCATTCCAGGCCGATGGATATTCAGGCTACGGCAGTGCTTGTGATGAGCATGGGGTTGTTCGCCCCCGCCCCGAGACGCTGCCGCCCAAAATGCACCGCCGAACCCAATCCGATTGGGCCACGCGGCCCGCGCATTCCTGCCTTCGAGCTCCGAGCGCGTCGGGCTCCCGCGGACGATCCAAAGGGCAGGGCAGCACCGAGTGGAGCAGTAGTTGCGCCCCCCCGAGGTGCTGCCACGTGATGAGTAGAGTAGTAGGGCAGCAGTGTTGTTTCACCCCCCGTGCGTTGCCGCGCGGGCGTCGAGCGGGGCACGTTCGTTTCGCCCCGTGGCGATGCCGCTCCGCGCGCCCGTCGGCCCGCACAGGCGTTCCTTAGATTTGAGGGCTCTGAGTGTGCCAGTTCGGCCGGTCCGCGCGCAAGATGTCAAAATCGGGGCATCGAGTGGACCATGTTTGTCGCGCCCCCCCCCGAGGAGTCCCCGCGCGGCGAGTCGAGTGGAATGCTGCATTGTTCTCCCCTGCGGCGTTGCCACACTGGGAGTATAGCGCAAACTCAGGGCCCTGTTTCGTCCGGTGGCGCTGCCGCTCCGCGCGCCCATCGGCCCGCACAGGCTTGCCCCAGAAGTGGGAACTCTGAGTGTGTCAGTGCGGCTCATCCGCGCGGGAGATGTCAAGCTCGGGGCATCGCGTGGAGCATTCCTTTCCCTTCCCCCGCCAAAGCGCTGCCCCGCGGCGAGCCGAGTGGAGTGATGTTCTGTTGACTTTCCCGCGGCGTTGCGACGCTAGGAGTCGAGTGGGTTTCTCAGGGGCAACTTCGTGCCCCCATCTGTGGAGTGACGCTGCAGTGGTATCAGCTCGGCTGAAACCTTTTTCTGAGGGTTTTTTTTTTTCTGGGCAAAACTGCCATCTTTTTGCTTGAACTCGCTCCTGGTGGGTTGGGTCCACAGGCCTCTCTCCTGGATGTCGAATGCCCCTGGGTGGTCCCAGTCCTGGATGAGCTTGTCGACGCTGGCATCGTGGCGATTTGAGTGGAGGGCTACGTTCTCGCCCCCCCCCCAGGCGTTGCCACGGGGGCGAGCGGGAACCGACTCGTGCCGCGGGCGCCTGCGGCGAAGCGAACCGCCGCCTCCTGCCTTCTGGAATCTCGCCCGGGTGGCAAGAGCTCTGCCGAACGATTGTCGGAAGGAAACACACACAATTCATCGTCAATTCCCAGGACAAGATGCGAAACTATGTGAAGCGGGGGGGGAGCATGAGAATCCCAAACATATGGAGAAATACAGTGGTTCCGGTTATTAGTGTGTATTGTTATGTGTGTGTGTGTGTGTGTGTGTGTGTGTGTGTGTGTGTGTGTGTGTGTGTGTGTGTGTGTGTGTGTGTGTGTGTGTGTGTGTGTGTGTGTGTGTGTGTGTGTGTGTGTGTGTGTGTGTGTGTGTGTGTGTGTGTGTGTGTGTGTGTGTGTGTGTGTGTGTGTGTGTGTGTTGTGTGTGTGTGTGTGTGTGTGTGTGTGTGTGTGTGTGTGTGTGTGTGTGTGTGTGTGTGTGTGTGTGTGTGTGTGTGTGTGTGTGTGTGTGTGTGTGTGTGTGTGTGTGTGTGTGTGTGTGTGTGTGTCCCAGGGCCCCTTCAGATTAGGCCATGTGCCCCCCCAGCCGCGGCGGAAACCTTTTCGGGGAACGCTGGGGGGAGGATGGCGGGGAAGGTCAGGATGAGGGGGAGGAGGAGGAGGAGGAGGAGGAGGAGGAGGAGGAGGCATCTCGGGAGCCTCAGGGGGGCACTCGTCGGGGCCTCCTGGGAGCTTGCTGGGGGCCTCTTGGAGGCCTCGCGGGGGCCTCCTCGGGCATCTTGGGAGCGTTTGGGGGCCTCTCGGGGGCCTCGTTGGGGCATGCCTGGCCAGTTGAACGCCAGCGGAAGCCGTCTCGGGGGCCTCTTTGGGACGACCTCTTGGGGTGCTCCAGGGCTATTTTGGAGGCCATCTTGGGCGTCCTCTTGGGGGCCTCCTGGGCCGTCTTGGAGACCTCTTGGGAGCCTCTTGGGCCATCTTCGGGCCATCTTGGGCCGTCTTGAGGGCCCCTCTCGGCGCCGACTTGGGGCCCCCTTGGGGTGCTCCAGTGCCGTTTTGGAGGCCATCTAGAGCGTCTCGGAGGCCTCTTGGGCCGTGTTGGGGACGTCTGGGGGCCCTCTTGGGGCCGTCTTGGGGACCTCTTGGGCCATCTTGGGGTCGTCTTGGAGGCCTCTTGGGCGATCTTTGGGCGATTTTGGGGGGATCTTGGGCCATCTCGGGCCGTCGGAAAGCCAGAAGCAAATGCCAACATCTTTCACAACCTGAGGACGATCAATGATTTTGCCCCTTCGGACCTTCCTGGAAACCCTCTTGGAGGCCCCTTGGGCCACGCATGGGCTCGATGTTGGTCGACCCACGGCGCCCTGTAGAGGCGATGGCAGCTGGCGATTATTGAACATTTCTTCAATCGCAATGAGTGGGCACAAACCCTTCTGACACGCCGCTGCAGATTTGTGTTCGTTCCCTCCCTCCTCCCTTTTACCCCCCCTCCCATCCGCACTCCCCTTCCACCTCCCCACTCATCCTCGTCATCCACCTCCCCCTCCCTCCCATGCCCCTCCAATGCTCCCTCCCTACCCCCCACTGCAATTGGCTGCCCGACGCGTCCCGCGCCTCCACCGCATTCTTGGGCAGCCTTCGGCCCCCCGCCCCTCCCCTACGACCCCACCCGTCCCCACGAG